TCTCAAAATAGCCCTTCTCTGAACCTTTGATTGAAGCATATTTGTAGGAACCAAAACCATTTAATATATACACAAGTGTATGTACATGTTTTATGTTAGGAAGGATCTTGATACAGTGGGGTGTTTTAAAAGTGGGTTATAATAAGGCAGTTCTTGCTTCCTAACTCTGTGTCTTCTGGGAAAAAAAATGTATATCTTCAGATGACTGGGTAAAGACAGATTGGATGGAGTGAATCATGTAGTTAGGATTTATACTGAACGTTTACTAGACTGCAGTCTAATTTTGCCTAGTCAGTCAGACTTGCCCAATGTCTGGCCTAATGCCATACAAATGCCATGGCCATGCCACCATAGATACAGTGGTGGGAATGGGGCATGAGCTGATGAGTGGGTGCTTTGGACTAGGTTGGCCTGACAGTCTTGAAATGAGAGGGAAACTAAGACGTTCCTTTCCATTTGTGGGCTGGAGAATTATTAATAGTTCTTTGTTGTTGTTGTTGACTACTATTTGCATTTCAGTTGATCTTTTTCTTCTTCCTTTTTCTATTACTACCATTTCAGGAGGTCCTTGTTATCTGAAGATAACTGGTACCAGAAAACTACTACTTCAAGAGAATTGACTTAAAACTGAATCAAACATTTAAAGCAAACAGTAACATTAAAAAAATATATTTTATTCAGAGTAAATTTTGAGAAATAAAAAAAAAGTTGATGTTTAGTTTGTTTTACATTATACAACACAAATTTGGGATATGATACAACATGTTATTTCATAGGACAGAGACTGAATGTTGACTTCCAAAGCAGAATCATAAAGAGGTGATTTATGTATAAGTATTTGAATTTTCCCAAGGGCCTCTCCGAATCGTTTGGTATACGTTCTATTTAAGAGTCTACCTCTCATGTAATCACCTCTGTTGGCTTTCTCTTCCTCAACTGTCAACTCTTCAAACTATCTTTGATCCTTATTTGGCAATGACTATGTGTAACTCCAGTAGTTCTCCAGGATCATTTTTATCAACTTTATTAAAATCTGTGACTTCACATTACAAGTGAACTCCGTTGGGTTTACATTTTATTCTGTAATATTACCCAACCAAGAAAATGAGCAAGAACGGATGTTGATGTTAATGAGCACTAAACATTAAGTGATCAATGTATTTGTCAATATTTTTATATTATGCTTTCTTATGCAACTTGGTAACTACAGGGATTCAGATAATGATTACTCCAGTAATGAGCTGTCCCCACTCCCCACCAAATATTCCGTTATATTTAAAGGACTCAGTGTGGGTTAGTGGGCTTTATGATCAACCGTGTGTAGACTTGGATGCCACTCCTTACACTTCATTAGGTTATGTAACCTTAGGTATGCTATCCACAGAACCGCAGATTCTTATCTATAATGTAAAGAAGACAACCTTGCATCACAGTCATAAGGATTAGAGCCCATGTACGTAAAACCCCTGAGTCACACACAGTGCGTGCAGCTTGAAAAATGGTCCTTATTAGGGCTGTTGTTGCTTTTATGTGGCACCTTACATTTTATATGAGACTTTCACATTTATTTTATTGAACTCTTTATAAAAACCCAGACTGAAGAGCTTAAATTTTATCCTCTAGACATAGCAAAGTCACTGAAGGTTTTGAACAGTGCGGTGACATGAAGAAACTAAATTTCAGAAAATTATGGCTGGTGATTGTGTACATCAGGGATTAGCTAATATTAATAAAATGTGATAGCCGTTTTCTTCATGTTATCGGTGAGAACACTGAGGCCCAAGGAAATCACATAACTTTCTTGGGATCACATAGTTTGTTTGTGGCGGGGTCAGTCCTAGAACCCAATCTTCCTGTCGCCTGCACTTTTCTTCCACCAGTGTTCTTCCACTGCACTGTTTGTTCACTAGCAAGTGAACCAATTAAAAAGGCCGGCATACTGGTCCAGGAACAGAGTGACAAAGGTCCAGCATGTTTTATTAGAAGTGGGCATGGAAGGGAGAGGATGAGGGTGGCAGATACTGGAAACAAGCGCTGCCCAGACTTTGGTGACAGACTGGCCAGCTCTGCTCAGTGAAGAAGGGAGTGGGGGGGGGGGCCAAGCTCTCAAGCCGGTAGGATGGATATATAGTTAATTAAAGTAAAATAAGGAGCATCTGTTGGTTTCATTGTTTCCTGATGAGTTTAAAGGGACTGCCCTATCCAGATAGAAATATTTTAAAGATGTAGGATTAAAGGTAGAAGCCAGTGCTGAAGAGACAAATTTGAGACTGATGCCACAGAAGGAGAGTTGAAACGTTGTACTACATACATGTTGTGTGTGCGCACACATGTGTATTCGTGTTAACTGGAAGTGGTGGCATATTCCCAAATTTAAGCCCGAGCCACACTACTTGATTACTTTGTAACTTACTGCCCAGTTGTAATCACCAACTGTTATACCTTCCTCAGAAGGAAGAGCTGTTTCCCTAGATTCTTGTGTGTTTGTGTGTTTGTTTTGTTGGATGGATCCTGCTGTGGCACTGAGAGACAGACTTTGCCGGGCCCTGTTTTGTAAACAAATCTGTTCACCCACACTTTCTTCTATCATTGGATGTGTACACTGGCTCTGGTTTTCCCACCCGACACAAAGAAGCCTAGGAATTCGGAAGCTTGTTTTCTTTTAGAAGTAAGCAGGCATCAAAGAAAAATGCACATATGCATTTGAAATATGCACATCTACCCTGTGTAAGTCTTTGGATCTTCACAATTTTAATTCTGGGCCATGAACTCTGGAAGTGTATTATAGCCCAGTACACACCGTAGCCCTGGGGGGCATCCTGAAAGCCTTCACCGAACTGTGCACTGAGCTCAGTAAAAAGAGAAAACCCCTTTTACCATCCAAGTTCATTTTGGGGACCATAAGTGGGATAAGTCACCAAGATGATGAAACATAATACTGATTTTCCTAAGAAGGGGTGATTCATCCCTTTCTTAAATTAGAATATGAACTTAACACATATATAATATAGTCACTTCCTACCTGTAGTTTTTTGTATGTTTTATATAATATTCCAGCTGAGTTTCAGTTTTTATGACAGGAAATATGTGATGGTAATGACAGGAGTAAATAACACTTGACTTTATGATTACGGTACAGGAAGTAACTTTTCACACTGAGTAAATCCTTGGGGAAAATGTACCAACTTATAAACTTAAGGAACATAATTTTTCCAGAATCTTGCATATAGTAGCTTCGCTCTCTTAAATGGAACTAAAACCAGAATGCTCTCCTTCCTTTCTTTCCTTAACTTTTCTTGTCAACAAATAAGTGCCTTTGCTTTATAGGAAGAGGCATTTTCAAGTATTTTGGTGTGACCCAATATGATACAGAACCATTAAAAAAATTCTAAGCAAAAATATTAATAATAAAGCCAAACTTGAGAGTGTAGAATAAGTAGCATGAATGGCTTTAAGACCCTAGATAAGAAATTACTTTTTTCCTTGAAGAGTAAATAGCCAAATCATCATTCACGGTTGAAGCGCAGGAGGCGCTTAAACTGTCCCCTTGGGCAGGCCCCCTCCAGGTACTTGCATGGCCATGTTCCGTAGGTCCTTGGAGAAGAGTTCATTTAACATCACAGAGGCTGCATATGAGCAAGTTTAAAGAGAAGGGAAAGAATTGGGTAGAATTTCAGTTATGTTCCTCATGGGCAGAACTTTTAATAGAGGCTTTGTTTTTCCCTTGTATAAAACAAATAACGAGAAGAAAAGATTTTTTTCCTCATCCTTTTCTTTTCATCTTAAAACCTAAAGAACTTGTAGTGAGAAAAAAAATTTACAACTGACACTCATTTCTGAGGATTAGTATTACACACACATGCATCATGGGAACAAATGGATGCCTGGAGGATTAAAGTATCAGAGAGGTGTCTTCCGGTTCCAGATGCATTCATAGCCACCATGTGGCAGTGACACAGTGGCCCATCATTGGGCCGGGAGTTAAAGGATAAAGGTACATACTTCAGCTCTGTGTCTGGGGGCCTCACTTAACCACCCTGATTAGAAACAAAATCTCTGAATCCCTTCTACTTCTAAAACTCAGTATCATGGGTTTTGCAAATAAGTAGATTGCAAATTATACAAAGCTATTTTTAAAGGACAAACTAATGTGTTAGTTTTAGAGTAACCAGTATTTAGTTATCATGAATTTTCTTTATATTTTTCAGAGTATATTTGCATGTGACATGATTAAAAATCTGCCTCACGTTCCTCACGTTCGTATAGTCTTTGTCGTTTTACTTACTGTATACTCCAGCCTGAGTGTGACTGGCAGGCATGCTGATGGTAGAGTCTGCAGCGCAGTGGTCAGGGTCACTGGCTTTGCATCCTGGCTACACCACCTGCTGATTTTATAATCCTGAGCAAGTCCTTAAGCTCCCTGAGCCTCAGTTTCCTTATCTGTAGTATGGGGATAGCAATAGAACTTACTTCTGGGGTTGCTGTGAAGATTATGTGAGCTTGTGTGCAGCTCTTAGTAGTGCCTGAGCCAGCCCTGCATGTCAGTTTGCCATTATCACTGATGATTAAACTGGCTTAAAGGGTTTGGGTGATCTGTGCAAGAGCAAATCAGCAAAAGGAAGAACTGGAACTCGAACACTGGACTTTCCAGTGTCTGGTGCCCTTCTGGTGTGAGGCCACTCTCTCTCCTATCTATAAAAAAGTGCTGTGAAAGAATATGCTCCATTCCGTTGTTTAAAGGAAAACTTTCGGCTGGGCATAGTGGCTCACGCCTGTAATCCTAGCACTCTGGGAGGCTGAGGCGGGTGGATTGCTTGAGCTCAGGAGTTCAAGACCAGCCTGAGCAAGAGCGAGACCTCGTCTCTACTATAAGTAGAAAGAAATTAGCCAAACAATTAAAAATAGAAAAATTAGCTGGGTGCAGTGGCACGTGCCTTTAAGTCCCAGCTACTTGGGAGGCTGAGGCAGTAGGATCGCTTGAGCCCAGGAGTTGGAGGTTGCTGTGAGGTAGGCTGACGCCATGGCACTGTAGCCCCGGCAACAGAGTGAGACTATGTCTCAAAAAAGAAAACTTAGAGTAAATGTTAAACATGAAGGACATTTGTCTCCCAGGGTTTCATTTTGTTTGGGGGGAGAGTAGACTTTATCACACTTGAATGGTATCCACAGCATAGCAGAGACCTGGATAGTCTCTATAGTTTAATCACATTCTAAATATTCAACTTTAGAAATAACCCCCATTAAACACCCAGATTAACAGGAATTTCCCCAAACCAGCAGCCTTTATTGCAGTGGCTGCTGCATCTGTTAGGTTCATGTTGTCTGTGCTTTCCCCCACCCAAGCTTCCGTTTCATGAGCTTTTCACTGTTTTGCTCTACTTTTCCTTTCTCTTTTTAAAACCTCTACATTGGCCACCCAGGACTTATAAGAAACATTTCCTGGTAACGTATCTGAAACGGGAATAAACTGCACAGGAGTGTGAGAGCCGTGAGCATGTATTTAAAATCACTCTCCACGAGTAAAGGGTTCTTGTTCTTTTGACCCTGTGCCAAAATAGATCTTTTCTTTCTGTTGAAGAGATTGATAAGGTCTCTGGGGTGAGGGCAGAGGGGATCACTATTATGTAGTGTGGTTGGTTTAAATTAAATTCTCACACCACTTTATAGATGCTATTTTTCACTCATCCTTGATTTGGAGATTATATTTATATCATGCAAATGGATTCCTTACTCCTTTTCAAAACTGACATTTAAAAAAAATATATAAAACATATCACATTAGTGAAAATTTGCTTCCGAGTAGACAACACAGATTAAACTTTTATATATGGTCTTCAGATTTATCTTGAGTATTCAAAAATGAGAAATAAAGGGGTTGGGGTCCCAGTAGTAAAGTGTTACCGTGCAAAGTGCGCTGTGTAATAAACACGGAGGCGGATTCAGTGGATTTGTCTTATTCTTCAGCTTCCATTAAGTAGAAGCTTGTCTTTCCCTCCTCCCACCTTCGGGAGCTCCCCTTCCCTCCACTCCCACCCAAGTAGAAGCGCACGAACAGCCTGAGACTGAAGGACAGGCTTTCTAAAATCTGGGGTATTTTTTAGCAAAATGTCTATGAAAATGAGGTCTGTCACCATTAATATCCTTTAAGTTGAGATAAAAGCAATTTTTCTTTTTCATATTGCCCAGTTGTCAAGAAATTCTATTCTTTTCAATGACATAAATTAACAGGTTTGGCTAAAGCCAAGAAAAATACAAAATGTCACATTTTAGCCCTAGTGGCCGGTTTTCAAAGGGTGCGTTGGTGTGAACACCTTGTCAGCTGCTAGGTCTTATAAATAAGTATTTTTCTGCCCCCATCACAGACAAATACCGAGAAGTTCTTTCTTCTCACAAGCCTAGGGGATGATGTTTTTGTTTTTGGTGTCTCTGTGCCTGGTAGGGAACATGATTTTTGTATATGAAATTTGGGGACAAATGAAAATAACTCTTTCTCTTTCCTGGAAGGGTTAATGCCCTAACTAGCTTCAGATTGGTTCACATGAATCTTAAAATTACTTTTCTGGTCACGCACACTGAAGGTCTAAGCATTTGTGAAATGTCTTTTTTCCCCCTCTTGATGCTGTTCTCTTTCGGCTGTCTTAATTACACAGGGGTTGAGAAACCAAATTAAAATTAGGCGTGTCTGGTAAACAGTGATCACGTTGCATGCTTTTAGCTTTGCTTGTTTGGAGTTACTTCTCCTCCCTCACTAGCTTCCCTCCTCACTTTTTTTAAAAAAGGAAATATCATAAGCTCTTTTAGAAATACTCACAGGAAGTGAGTATCCACACGCTGGTTACTCACCAGTCACCGAGTGTTAGCAGGTGGCGAATGCTACTGCAGCCCTCCCAGATAGATTTAAAAACTGCCCCCCGAGCAGAGGATAAAACGCAGGGTGCGTAGACCAAAAGGTTTTTGTATACGGAGGGAGTTGTGAGAGGAAGTTGGTCATTGCCTGTCATCTCGAGGGATGGTGATTCAGGGCGCTGTGGTGGAGTCAGGAGGCACGTGGCTGCCATCGCTGAGGTTTCTGCAGTCAGAGAGCAGGCTGTCTTCTAAAAATTAACGCTCCCTCCACCCCCAACAATGATTCTTTTGCAGTGAATCACTTCCAGAAATGAATAGCCACAGTTTTTTGGAATGAACATTGTGAAATCCCTCGTTTATAATGGCAGGTTTTCAGTTGGTGGTTTTATCAGACAGAATTTCTCAAGAACAAAACGAAACCTTCTCTTTTAAAAGAAAGAAAGTACTATCGATACAGAAACCAAAAGTATTTCCAGTCTCCTGCCGGAGAACTGTCACGGCAGATCTCTGTACCTATACTTAGAGATATATGTCCTTATATTTGCCTGAATATGTGAGTTCTTGGAAGTGTGGATTCAAGGCCAGGAGCCGGTGATTTCCTATGCAGAAAGTCGCTAACTACAAGAAACGTTATACTCGGTGAGTAGGTGGTAGTTTCTGAAGATTATTGCTAAACCAGTGTTCATCGTCTTGAGTCACGGATTTACAGGACAAGCCAGCAAGCTCTTAAAAACTTCTGCTTTAAATGACAGAGTGCATGGAACCCACAGGGCTCACAAAAGACTGTGACCAGTTTTTAAGAATGTGGATTAATTGAATAATCAGTAAATCTTTTGAATATACTAGACCTTTTGAAGAAGAAAGGGTGTTTTACAGAAGGAAGTGGTTTGTGGGGGGCTTTTAGAGGTACAGTTATTGTTTTTCTATATTTATTTTAAGCATCACTCTGTCCTCTTGTATGAAAGAAATAAATGACTACATGGTCTCAACAGAGAAGAAGTTATGCTGACTCTTTTTAAATGAAGAAACGTTATTCACATGTTACTCCGAACTGGACTTTTATCCTCCCAAACGTTCATAAGAGGAAACTATCCCATGGAGGAGACTAACTTTCTGGCAACGTCTGTGATGTGTCTCATTCAGAACCCGGTGGGCTCTCTGTGGATTATCAGCAGTACTTTTATCCAGGGGCAAAGAGAGAGAATAGGGTTACTGGAAACAGGGAGTGTAGTTAAAGGAATTGTTCTCTCTCCGGAGTGGATAAATTGTTTGACCTACTGACTCATTTCATAGGAATTAGGAAAACAACCTAGTGTGGTTTTTATTGTTAGTCCTGGAGGATTCCAATATCTGCGTGCCTACAAATAAACCGAGCTGGAGAAAGGTACCTTGGCTCTTGGTGTTGCTACTTGCCTGTTCTGTCGTCCTAATGGAATTCAATCTTCTGCTTCCAGGACAAGTCCAGTCTGCACTTGAGGGTTCTTTGTGTGACTGACCGTTCAGCGGTGAGTATATGTGACAGCTATTTCTGATTTTCACTAGTTCCTGCTTCTCAGTTCCTAAAAGGCATTTTATCTAAGGAAAAGCTTTAAAGAACATTTTTTTCCTGGTACATTTATAGTACATTTCCTATTTATCTGTAGAAAATACTCTGGGTGTGATAATGATTATAAAAGATAGCATAACCGATAGACAACAGTGAAAGTTAAGAATTAAGATTGATTCTGATAGATTTTTGTAGCATATTGACGCGAAGGCTGTTTTGGTTTTAACATATTTATATTAAAATGATTTTTTTGTAATGTCATTTAAGCCACAAGTGTGGAAGATACCAGTATATTCTAGCAAAAATAATATAATTACTAACAGTTAATGACTGGCATGACTTTGGGGCTAGTAGCATAATATTTATGTGCAGAGATACTTGTGAACATGGTGTTTTGATTTTCAACCAATGTTGTCAAATAAGCTAAAATTATCAGAAGAGGACAAAGAAGGTATATTAAACTTGGATAAAAGCCGAAACAGAGAAAAGATAGCCTTGATAAAGTGTTAGATTAATGCCTCTGTATAATGTCAAATATGCTGGATCCCCCAAATCACACCCTCAAATCATGTTCTTAATTAATGCAAAAGATGTTTGATCTATGATTATTATAGAATTTCTCATTCTCCTGGGAGGTGGCCGAGTAGAAGGTTGAGTTAGTCATGCTGGTGCTGTTTGTTCAGCTCATTGCTGTACTATGTCGGAACTGTCGGAATGCCTCAGAGTTGGAGATCTTAACCTTTCCCTTTGAGATTATGATTGGAGCCACCAATCCTTTTACCACACCTCAATGCAAACGTTTGCCTGCATTTTGGAGATATTCACAGATCCAGAGAAGCACCTCCACATACACCAGGTTGAGAACACTGCCCTGGACTGAGGCCTCACCAGGACTCTCCTATTCTTACACTTCCCTGGAAACGCTGTTATTAAGAAGAGGAGGCACTCAGGTCAAAAAGAAGTCACTGTGGTTGCTAGGTGAGGGTGCAACACCAGAGAAAGGACAAAGGGTGAAGAAAATACATGAGTAATACTAAATAAATAAGGAGAATTGTTAATATTTTCAGAACCACCAAACCAATAGCCCAGAATCCCTAAACATTTAACCATGTATATTTGTAATGTACTTTGTGAATTCAGGTAGAGAGCTAAAGACTCTACAGTAAGCAATTAGATAGAGTTTTCCTCATAAGTGTTTTTGCCTATGCCTTTTGCACAATATAAAACTATGAAATCTCTTTTCTTTCTTTCTGTTTTTCCATTGTGCATGTTACCAGATAGGTAAGACTGAAAATCTTCTGAACTCACGAAATATAATTTCGGAAACAGACTGGAAAAATAATGCTATATTAGCATAAGAAATTTGGTAGAGTTAGATACAATAGTGTAGTTGAATACAAAAGAAACACCATTTTTTTAAAAAAAGTAGCCTTTATTGGTCATCAACTAAACTTAAGTCAGTACTCTGAGGCTGTTGTAGAAAAAAATACACGTGATTCTTGGGTGTATTAAAGGGAGAATGTCATAAAAGTATAAGGATATAAGGCTTTACGTTCTCATAAAACTCATCATTGTGTCAATTTGAGTCACACTTGAAAAAAGATATTTGGGCAGTTGTAAGAAGCTGATACACAAGCAACAGAAATGACACACCCTTCCAGGAAAAGATAAAGTAACTGAGGGTTTTAGTCCACAGAAGGCTGGAGAATTTCTTGCTAGTGATCTTTAAGTAGCAGTGGCCATGGTCTGATGTATCTTTCCCTTCCTGAGCCTACCACACCGCCTGTGTTCAGTAAGCTGCAGTACTTGAAACGACCGTTCAGTTTAAGGATGTCAGCAACACTTCTGTGATAGACTCAGCAGGAGTAAACAATCAAATCAAAGAGATAATGTCATGACAGGAGGTATACAATACATAAATTTGCTGGCTGATTAATAGATAAGAAAGACTCTTGATGGGTTGATAAAATAGTTGAGCAGCTAACTGAGGGGAAGTGATGAAATCTTGGATTGATATCTCTTTCTAGATGTGACTAGGTAAGTCTGTTTTGGGTGGTGGAAACATTAATTAATTCATTCAACAAACCCTGAGGGCCTATTTTGCTAGGTGCTTACAGTCAGACAGAGGAGGCAGAGATACAAAAGCATATTCACAGTATATGATTAGTACCATGGAGCCATAAAAACAGCATGCTCTGGCGGCTTGTGATACCCAGATGCTTCCCAAAGTGGCTTCTTGGTGGAGGTGAATTGACACCCCCCACCCCCGGCTAAGGACAGCCTTCCAGGAGTGAGTGGGTCGGGGCAGGCAGCGTGAGGGGTCCAGACAGAAGGGCAGCATGTGCAGAGGCGCAGCCCTGTGTGTGTGGAGGGGGGGGGTTGTGTTAACAGAGGTCTGATGTGTGCCGTGCTATGCTTGACCGAAGATTTCTGCCCAGGAGGGTGGCACGGGCAGATGTAGACCTTTGAAAGACCATACAGGCTGCAATAAAGAGGGTGACTTGCAGTGGGGGGACAGGCCAGACAAGGCAAGGAGACCACATAGAAAGCTTTGGTAACAATCCATGGAGAAAGGCTGAGGGCACTTCTCAGCGTGGATTCAAGGCTGATTAGTGAGGTGAGAAAGGGAAAGGGTGAAGCAAAGGGAGTGGTGTGGGTCATCGAATGGCATCACTCACCACTGCGAGGTATGGCCAGAAGTCCATGGCATTCAGACGTGTCAGAGGACACATGAAGAGAGGAAGTGGAGCCATAGAGACTCAGCAAGTGGAAAGTCTATGTGGACGTGGCCCTTGAAATTCAAGTGAGCAAGATCAGTGCCAGCGGTGGTCTTGACTTGTGCAAAGACCTGTTTCTAAAGCAGTGGGCCACTCTTCCAACTTTTTGTATGGCATTTTTAACTTTATTCTGACAAATTTGTAATACATTTATTTATTTTTCTTTTTTATTGTATGTATATTTAAGGTATACAACATGATGTTTTGCTATACATAGCAAAATAATTACCACAGACAAGCCAATAAGTATTCCCATCTCATAGCTACCTTTTCATGTTTGTGGTAAGAGCACCTAAAATCTACTCTCCTAGAAAATTTTCGGTATATAATACAGTATTATTACCTGTATTCCTCATGCTGTATTAGGTCTCTAGATTTAGTCTTTCTCTGTAACTGAAACTTTGTACCAGTTCACCTATATCTCCCCATCCCTCCCAACTCTGTTTCTAGGTACTATATTTATAGACTTTGTTTTCCCCAGAGATTCCACATCTGAAGGAGAAATATAATTACCTCTCATTCCCAAAGCTCTGATAAGGTTTTTTATGTTTCCTTCCAGTATTTTCCTATATACACAAGCAACTTATGTAATCAGCATCATTCCATACAGGCACTTTTCTATTCCACTTTTTAAATGAGCATTTTCTCCATATGCTTAAAAATGTCTTAAAAATATTTTTAATGGTATTTTCTAATTTTTAATGGTATTTTCTAATTTGGGAGTGTTTAATTTGCTTCTATTTTTTAAAAACCCTTTCTATATTACAACAATTATCCTTTTAAATACATGAATCTTGGGCATATTTTTTATGATTTTTTTTTTTTTTTTTTGAGACAGAGTCTCACTTTGTTGCAACAGGCTAGAGTGAGTGCCGTGGCATCAGCCTAGCTCACAGCAACCTCAAACTCCTGGGCTCAAGCAATCCTCCTGCCTCAGCCTCCCGAGTAGCTGGGACTACAGGCATGCGCCGCCATGCCTGGCTAATTTTTTTTTCTATATATATTAGTTGGCCAATTAATTTCTTTCTATTTATAGTAGAGACGGGGTCTCACTCTTGCTCAGGGTAGTTTTGAACTCCTGACCTCGAGCAATCCGCCCGCCTCGGCCTCCCAGAGTGCCAGGATTACAGGCGTGAGCCACTGCACACGGCCCACAGTGAATTTCTTGAGTAAAAAAAGTAGAACTTTAAGATTCTTGATACACTTTGCTAAATTGGTTTCTAGAAAGCTTGTACCAAGTTATATACATTTTAGCAACATACGAAATGTCCTCAGCATTTCATCATCAGCACTATTATCTCTTTTTTTATCTTTAGACAAAACTGTTACATTATTTTTGGTTCTTTTATTCAACAGCTATTTAATGAATGCCCACTTCATATCAGGCATGTGGCATTTTTTAATCTCTACCAGTAAAGTTGAATGTTTTCCATGTGTTTATTAGTCCATTGTTTTCTTTTGTAAATGTTCTGCTCGTGTCCATTACCAACTTTTCCATTGGGGTGTGACTGTTTCTCTACTATATTTATAAGGTTGTATGTGTGTATGTATGTAGGATATTTAGGGCAAATATTTTCCTCAGCTTCTTTGGCTTTTAATTTTGCTTATGACTTTTTTTTTTTTTAAGATACAGAACCTTTATATTTTATTTAGTTGAATAAGTGATTGTTATCTCTTTTTCTTTCCTGTGTGACTTTATTGCTGTAGGCTTAGGAATTCCTTCCTACCTAGCAGAAGTTAGAAAATATTCATCTAATGTTACAAAAATATTTTAAACTCACCAAATTAAAAGTAAGATGTGAAGCAAAGATGCAAATGGATTTTTTTCCCATATAGTAAGTCCCCCAACGGTGTGCATTCAGTCATCTATCTTTCCCTAGTTACTGTGTGGTGCTTCCTTAATTTTGTATTTCAAGACCTTTTACTGTTGTATCCAGTTGTAGGAGTTCATAAATTTTTGGTATAAGTATGAATGGAGGATGTGACAATACTTTCTTCTAACATTTTATTATGAACAATTTCAAGCATACAACCAAGAATTTTCTAGTGAACCTCCATATATACACCTGCTAAATTCTACAGTTAATATTCTGCCACTCATTCTTTACCATCTGTCTGTTCATGTAATAATTTTTAAACTCCTGGATCATTATTTGAATTCCAAAGTGGAATATCAAATACA